TGAGTTTTACATTGCAGACTTTAAACTCTGCCGTTATTGACTTGAACAAAAGTACCAGCTTGGCCTGTTTACAATACAGAGTCACAACGGTCAGACAAGGCAATGCCCCAAGTCATTTTCTCATGGGGCTGTGTTGATTTTTCTTTCTTCATCGATTTCACTGCTGTCATAGTCACCTCGAACACGAGCAGCTGCCAGAGGAGCTTGGGAATCAACATGAACTAGAGACACCAGACATTGCACTTTCCGATCACTCTGCATCACTCAGTCGCGAGCAGGTCTGCAACCAGTTAACTCATGTATGCGCCTAACTTCCGCTCTGTCAGATAACTTGAAATCGTAGACGAGGCTCTTCACAGGTTCCTCTAGAACCGCTGAGATCCGATTCTTTGCCACTATGAAACTGACTGTCGCTACCTTACCTTTAAGGAATGATGAACTTCTTGATTTATGCGGTGTGAACTGCATTCCACACCATTCGACAACGCTGTCCAACCTTTTCAGAATTGAACGGGCAACATCCTTACTGCCTATTATGATAGTTGTGTCATCCATAAAGGAATGCAGTGGCGGCATCCAGTGGTCCACAATCTTAATGCCCTGCACCTTAAAACTTGACCTGCATGGCCATAACAAACAGTATCAAGGAAATCTTATATCTCATTGCTATCCCAATATGGAGCTAGGTCCATCTCGTAGTAAAAGTTGGAGCAGAAAAACGTATAGCGAACTTTTAGAAACACGCTGGATCATTTCGGTGATCTGTGTCGGTACGTGGAACATGGGAAGGCCTGCCACAGTAGCTTATGGGTTACCGCCCCATAGGCGTTGGCGAGGTCCAACCATATCAGGTGCGGTTGAGTTCTCTCTGATAGCTCTCTGGATAGACTCCCAGATCATCGTCGCGTGTTAAAGGCACCCGGGAACGCTCGGGATTCCACATTTCTGAGCAGTCGTATCAATGTATCTGTTCGCCATCAAATACTGTGTGAGCTTTCGTTGCCCTCAACATTCAACAGCGTGATAGGTCTGAATTTGAACAAACTGGAGGAGTCTCGCTCTTTGGAAATGTAGATCCCATTGGCTCTCTATCACTGGGTCTTATGTACTTTCGGCTCCACGATAATCTTAGCAAATGGTGAAGCATTCGAAGGACTTTCAGACAGTTAGTACTCGACGTAAGGTACACTGTTGGGCCCTGGGGCGAACTTGCTGCTAGCTCTCTTCACAATCTCTTCGACCTCTGACCAAGAGAGATGCATCGCTTTGAACTCTGGCCGCTTCATGCCACTGGTCTCAGAATGGCATGGTAAACCTCTAGGTAGCAACTCGAAGAGCAAACACGGATCGATAGACTGATCTTTGACCTCTGCCAACTACGACTGAGGGCCTTCTCTTGTCCTGCCATAACTTATACTGATGTAAAATAAAGGACCGCTTTCTACACCTTCTGACCTATTGGGCACATAGAGCTAGGCCTATATTTTATGGACCAATCAGTACTCAGTGGATGTTATGGTCATCATCACGCTGGTCGCCTTTACTTCCCAGGACTAACATAATTTATAAAACTATTTAATCAAGTTTCATTTGCTGGCCCTAGAAGGAGGCTAGTATCCTACCACAATGGGCTCCTCTGCGTAAGCCGCTGTCACAATGGGTGTGTGTCAGCTTAAATAAAAAAGAAGATCAACTTATTCAGCACAACAGTTAACTCATCGTGTGCCGCCAACTGGTCCCAAACAATTTCGAGGCTGGCACCATATGTCTCCAAACGCCCCAAGACGCGACCAGAGGTCCTTTACTAAAATAAAGGAAATAAAAAGATGACCTGTCAGTACTGTAAAATTACTGCTTTTTGGTCGTGGTTTGCTTCGGTCAATACTTAGCCGCTGTATTTTGATGCCTAAGTAGATTGAAAAGACATCGTTCAGTCACCCAGTTCTTGAGGTCAGTGCATGGTAGTTCATGCTGAACGAGGTTTACATTGTGAACAACAGAAATGACGAATGACCTGTAACCTGACTATTGGTGTAGACTTATGCCAGTGATTCCCAAATTGTGCGCCGTGGTGCCCCGGGGAAGCCGCGACATCTTCACAGGGGCGACGTGATATATTCGAAGATACACGAGTTTTATTAGTTTTTATCTCTTATATACGAATAGTCATACTTTTACTTAGGTTAGGGCACCGTGGACACATTTTAATCAAAAATAGGCGCCGCGACTAAGAACAGTTTGGGAAACACTGACATTTGCGATTAATTGCGTGCTCGACTAGTGATATGATGTAATTTTTGCGTCAATCAACGATGAATTGCAAATATAATGCCCGGCTGTTTGTACTGGCACTTATGACGGTTCATTCTTCATTTAAAGTGTGTGAATGTTAGAGGCTTTTCCGAGATTGCAGTCTGTGGTTTTTTTTTTTTTTTAAACAAGTGGCAGTAATAAGCATTCTATGGGATTTTGTTGCCACGGAAACGGGGCACTATGGAGTGACAGTTTTCACATGACGCTGGAATATAGTGAATCAAAAACCTGATCATTACTACTATGAAACCGTTCAACTATAGATAAGAAAGAGATCTGGCCCACACCAGACCAAAAGACCACAAGCAGCGCAGCAAGGAAGCAAAGAACCGGAATATCAGGTGTGACTACACACCACAAAGAAAAGGAAACCACATAAGACAGCAAAGGAACCTTCTTTCATATAGCAGGCCTCCGGGCGGCTGAAAAAGGATCAAATTTGGAATTTTTGTTGGACGAATTGGAATTGGAATTGGACTATAGATAAGAAAAATGTTGCCTTTGAAGAGCTGTTAATGTGTGTCGGCTGCACACTGTACCGCTCTTTTGTGAAACCAAACACCTGTCTTAAGTGTCTTCAGATATAGTTTGTTACACACAGATCAATGATTGGTAGAACGATTGATAACGATGAGCTTTTATTCGGGAGATAGAGGGTCGAATCCGGATATTTTTTTTTCCTTTCAGGGAACAAAAGTTAAATCCTAACGTTCACAGTTCGTGGCAACTGCTTTGGCCCAGTGGCCTTAAATCCCCATGCTCAAGAACTCCCTGCACTTCTTCTTGTTCTTGTTCTTGTTCTATTCTTGTTCTTGTTCTTCTTTTTCTTTTTCTTTCTTCTTCTACTGCCTTCATCCGCAGATGTAATTGCGTGTTGCCTGTTTATAGCATTGCTGCGATATTTGCGTCTTTCGGCCGACACATCCGACTTCTGCAGGCATTTGTTGACCAGCTTAGTCTTCCTGGAAATCCCCCGTTTAACGTCGTCATAAACCATATTAGTAAATACAGAAGTAAAGACAGTTTTAAGATTACACCCCCCCCCCCCCCCCCATCTACACACCGTCCTAACAAACGGTAAATACAGACACCATCATCAAGCAGGTGCCTTCTCCCCACTGAAGATTAACTGCAATTTATTTTCAATAGGCGCTGTCTCTCGTCTTAAGTGTACATTCAGACTCACCTCTTGATGCTGTCCTCCCACTTGTAAAGTTGTCTACCTCTTGTTGTTTTGCCCTCGAATTTTCCCTCCCATGTGGTTTTCTTCAAAGCATGTTTTGTTTTTAATATGACCAAAGTATTTCAATTGTCCCCCTATTTTTTTCAGATTTTATTCTGTAATTATTTTTTCATTCGTACTTTTGACTGGTACTGAAAGATGTCACAAACTGTACACAGGTATCCATGACTGGGTGCAGGGGCCCTATCTTCGATGATGAAAAATGTAGACCTACTTAACATCTAGCAAGAATGAGTGAAAGGTGGACTACTTGATTACATCGAATCTTTTAGGCTGTAACAAAAATATACCATAGCTAAGCTGTAAACCGCAAAACCTTGTGCCGTCCTGTCTTTTAAGAGCAAAGGTAGTAGACAACCAGCAGTTGCTGAAAGGGCAGTATAAACACACGACGTGCAGTCTGCTTTATTTGTGCTTTTTTTCCTCAAAAGTCCTTTACAAAATCTCTTGCCGAAACTCTTCCTAGAAACTCTACCCGAAATCTCTTCCCAAAATCTGCTCTCAAAATCTTTTACCAAAATCTGCTCCCAAAATCTCTACTCAAAATCTCTTCCTAAAATCTCTTCCCCAAAACCTCTACCGAAAATCTCTACCCAAAATCTCTACCAAAAATCTCTACCCAAAATTCTCTACCCAAAATCTCTTCCTAAAATCTCTTCCCCAAAACCTCTACCGAAAATCTCTACCCAAAATCTCTACCCAAAATTCTCTACCCAAAATCTCTTCCCAAAATCTCGTCCCAAAATCTCTACCCTAAATCTCTTCCCGAAATCTCTACCCGAAATCTCCTCATATAATCAGTACAGTGTTATCAATACTCTACTCTCATTACTTCAGCTGCTTTAACAGTACAGGAAGATATCATATTCTTTCTGTGGGTTCCGGGATCCCATTGTGGGGGCAGAAAGAAACAAACCTTCTGTCCATAAACAAGCATTTCGTAAAAGTTAACTATTTAGGTTTGCTTTCTTCGACGTCATGTTGAATTTACAGAAGGGACTAACTATCAGTCTGCATACAAAATAATATACTCGAGTGCATCTTCCCAAGCAGCAAAGAAAAACCAACTGCACACAAATAAGCCAGTAAAACGGACGCGCACGGACAACTCAGGCCCTGGTATAAAACCAAAGACTGAAAAGACGAATAACCAGGACGTGTCGCCGTAGCCTGTAGCCGTTGAACACAGAAGAAGACAATATATACTTTCTTAAAGCTAAGGTTTTGCTGTTTAATTTTAACTTTTATCTTCTGTAGAGTCTCACTGTTGGTGAAACGAGATAAGAATGTTCTTACTAAGATTTTAAAAAACATGACACACAGTAATTCAACGATTACCTATTTCTAGAACAATCTGTGTTGTTTCGGTCTATGGGTTTTTTTTTTTTTTGTTTTTTTTTTTGTTAACTGATTATATAATTTCCACTTCCACATAACAAAAAACATGGAACATTTCTGTCTTGTGTACTTAACACTTTGTTCCGTCTTTATATCAATTCTTGGAGACTACTGTCCGTATAAGGTATGTCGATTGTTTTGTTGCTTTTATGGTTGTTATTCTTTTAACATTATTTCTCATTTATCTGAACATCCACTCGATGACACAAGCACGCAAACCTAAGGGCTAAGACGTTTTAACCCACTTCCTCCTATACACCTTTTCCGGCTCGATAAAATTTCCTTTGCGGATGAGGGGGGAAAGGCAGAAAAGGGGGAAGGTGGCGGGGGTGGGGGTGCCTTGACATTCTCCAGGAATTTAATAAAGGGCAAAGGACCCAACATTCCCTCTCAACCATTATATAAGTTTTCCTTTAAATATAAATATTTGCAAATTGTTTTATTATTTGATTTATTATTAAATATTCTTAATGTCATCAAGATATGTCGCCGTCTGTGGCTTAAGCGTTGCGAACGCGCTTTGTAATGCCGGGGTGCCTGGTTCGATCCCAACTGCCAACGGTTTGTCTTGAGTTGGGTTTGACAGTGGTACCCAGAGCTGATATGAAAACTACTGAACGTTAAATTTGCCTAGAAAAACCGCAACAGCCAAAAAATAGTGCTGGGGTTGGTTCTGCAACGTCCTGTTAAGGATACGCAACCAACTAACATTAGAATATAATAATAATATTCATTGGCTCTCCTGCGGATCCAAAGGTCATCGTTTCGTGTCCTCACGGAACAGGACTTTGGTCGAAAATGACCTTGGCTGCCAGGTCGACTCAGCCTTAAATGGGTTCCAAGTGCAGTCCTGGGAAGTAGAGGTGGCCGGCGTGATGTTGAACACATGACCCAACTAGAGCCGATTGGTCTATAAAATATAGGTCTAGCAATATACCGCTATAAGGCCTAAAGGCCTGGAAAAGGGTCCGGTACTTTGCCTTATTTAAGAATATTTATTGTTATTTTTTGGCACTTGAAAGGGGTTAAGAACCTTTAGACCCTGTAGAAATTGTGAGAGGCCTGCCGCCACCACTTCCGCATACACAACTTGCTAGGTATAGGTGTCCCACTTAAATATAAACCAACACAAGTACGGACAGATTTACAATTAGATAGGTAGAATGAACACACACACACACACACACACACACACACACAAACCGATAAAGATACAGATGGATGAACGGACAGAGAGACGGACACACATCAATCATGTTATTCATTGGAATACCTTGAACCGTCCTGTAATTGACATCAGGTAACCTCCTTAGAAGTAAAGCGGTCGGTATGATGTTGATCACAGCACCCCCTCAATGTTTACTGTGAGATAAATATCTGATTCCAGCACTGCATTGACTAAACGCCATTAGAGTACTATGGGTAGTTTAATTTGTTTTTGAAGATAAGGGGAGAATGGAAATTTGCAAGACCATTATCCTGATATAAGGAAGTGAATTATGATAGTAATTTTCGCTAAACAATATGTGAAAACGGCTGAGCTGTGGTTTTTATTGACGAAGGATAAGAACACACTAGACCGATTGAAAAGATCTTCATCGAAACTGACTCCCGTAGACAACTAATTTCCGTCATCAGAAGGAGACAATCTAAATTTGTTTCTCCTGGCATGAGAAAAGGTTTAGGCTTAGACGACGGATCAACGTTCTACTTCTGACTCAAGCCTGAGTCCGAATGACACAGCGCAGTGCAGGAGTTTCGTAGCACCGGCGATGATTCTGGAATACTTTGGGTAGATTTTGCCCGGTCAGCGCCGTTAGGCTACTCTTTTTCGATTTCCAACTGCCTAAGGATGTTTTACGTGCAACAATGCATTCGGGTGTCCGATCTTACTGCGAGGAGACCAGGGGAAATTACTAGAAGTCCACGTGAACAAAATCCCAGTCTTCACCGGGGATTGAACTCAGAACCTCTAGCACTCGGGGCGGACACCATGCCTCTAGACCACGAAGCCCCCACGAGAATAGGAGAAGTGGGGATAAGCGACTATTATTCTCATAAAAATAAGAAAACTGCGGTACATTGTGATGGTGGTAAAGGTGAAGAGAAAAAGATGCAGAGGCAGAGAAGGGCGACTCTAGGCAGACTCACATCAAGGCGTAGGTATTATATATCAGAATGTATGCTTATTGGGCTCCTGCATTAGTTCCCAGCAGCCCCTACGTTAAAACTGATCGTCGCTCCTATAGTCCGTTCCAAAAAGTTGCACCCAATTGTAAAAATCTGTAACTCAGTCAACTTTCAGTGTACATTGTTGAAACGTTGCATGTTTGCAATCATGTCTTTGTAGGAAAATAATCATGATGTAAACAATCTTCTAGTTTTTACCATGCCTTATTTGTAGTATGTTAAAAAAAAAAACCCAGACCCAATCAAAGGCATAGAGTAAACATGTTTACAATGTGTCCTTGTGGCGAGGCTGACAAAACTTCCAATTGTCATTGTTTCGGAGGTAATCTGCGCTTATTTTGACTAGAAAAGTTGATACGTCATGTACTGTCATAATGCTTGTTGACTGGCTCCCAACAATTGAAACACTTGTGTCAATTGCTGTATTTACTGTTTTAGGGGTACAGAAATTATAGCTCGATAAGACCAAAGAAATTCTGCGTTATAATAAAACAGTGGCACCTGTGCAATTGTAAATAATGAAATTATGGGACATGTGCAATCTAAGACTACTTGCAAAAATTCGTATTGATCTTTTTAGGAATTTTCGAGATATTTGTTAGAGTTTGCGGGAAGGAATTTTGGAATAGACTACAGTATTGTTTTCGAGAGGACCCCAGATCTTATTTCAAATCCTTATCATTGTACTGAGCTTACACTTCGTTATGTGGCGAAGTGGTCAAGGTGTTTGCTTTGCGCTCTGAAAATTGAGGGTTCGTTTCGTGGACTGCGTCATTTGGTATACCGGTGCAGATTTTTACGAAAAGCCTTTTGCATTGTCCCTGGAGCTACAAATCTCGCTCTTTGTGTGCAGCTTTGAGTAAGCAGCTAGCGTTCGACGGAGGGAGACTGAGCCATTTTGAATAAGAACGTGTGCAATGAAGTCGGTTCACTCGACTTTATACATTAAAAGTACAGATATCACTTTCTCTATTCCGTTTTTAGGAATGCGACTGTTATGAAAATACTATTGATTGCAACAATGACGGACTTCGAGAATTACCTGAGCTTTTACCTGTTGATGTAACGCAGCCTTTCTTACTGGATTTAGACGTAAGTCTCTGCTCTCAATTTTCTCTATTCCCGCCTCTCTCCCCCCCCCTCTCTCTCTCTCTCTCTCTCTCTCTCTCTCTCTGTGCGTGCATGTGTGTGTGTGTGTGTGTGTGCATGTTGCCCCACACTTACCACAATGTGGGTTCTGACACCCTATTATGGAAAACAGCCCTTGTGGATTCAAATTCTCTTCTCTCCCCTTCTATTCTAGTCTCTCTCCCTCCCTCCCTCCCTCCAAGTGTCTCCTCCTCTTTCTTTGTATGTGTATGTGTGTGTGTGTGTGTGTGTGTGTGTGTGTGTGTGTGTGTGTGCGTGCGTGCGTGTATTTTATCCCCAAACTTACCTCAGCGTGGGTTCTGACAATCTATTTTTGAAAACAGTCTTTGTTACTGGATTTTCACATACGTTTTTTCTCTCCCCCTTCCCTTCTCTTCTCTCTCTGTTTCTCTCTCTTTTTCTCTCTCTGCAATTGATCCCCCAGTTCACCCCGATGTAGGTTCTGTTGCCTTATCCTGTAGCAGGTTCTTGGCAGAACGTCGCTCTCATCATGGTCTGTCTGAAAAAACTTGATCTCTCGCCAGCTCTCGGGCCTCGTATACTTCCATTTTCAAGGAGTCACTTATATCTTGTGCCCATCTTCGTGTTGGTTAGGCCCATGTCCATCCTTTCTGGTACCATGCCTTCTGCTATTATTCGCCCTGGAGCTCAATGTGACCAACATATTTCAGCTTCAGAGACAAGATGCAGTTTATTAGCCAATCTTCCCTAATGTTCAGATCTTTGAAAATGTATGTATTTTTTCCGCAAACCCGTTGATCCTTGACCGGCAGGTCACAGAAGACGATTTATGAAGGGCTTCCAAATGCGATGTGTTGGGCCGAAAAAACACAGATATTGCTGCCTGTCTGTAAACCACAACTCACTGTATCGGCTACTTTTTAAAGTGCAAACACAGACTGAACCACTTGATCATCTATTTTCAACGTATCTCAAATGTACCAGCTTTTAACCAACGTGTTTAGTACATTTCAAAACTTGTGCCCTCGCACTTTAACAAATACCTGGAAAACTCCTATGCAGATCAACAGGAATTTTTGCCTGTGGTCTAAACTTTTTCCATATCCTTATAATTCTATAATATACAATTGCACATATGCTGCTGTGTTCTTAAAGCGGGAAATTTCTTTGATCTTTGTTTGACTAATAATTTACGTACCTCTAAAAATCAGAATATACGGTAATTGATACAAATGTGGAGATTCTTTGGAAATCGGTTCAAGTATATAGCGTTGTGTGGAGATTATTTTTATAGCCTATCCCCCTCTCGTTGAAAATTCCAGAACCAATAGGAGACTTATGCCGCGGATGACCACCTGAGAATGAATGGCGTGCAATTTGAAGTTTTAACAAGTTTCCCTTACTCAATTTATTTAAGTAGCTGTAACCACGCTACTTGCTTTGTATGTGTGTCTTTTTTCGTAATATCCCCAATAAGGCAAAATGAAAACTGGATGTTTGTTTAAATAACAAAACATAATAATAATAATATTATTATTAAAAATAATAAAAATAACAGTAATCTTTTAAGGACACAGTTATTCACAGGCTGCATGGCCAAATTGCAACGACTTACAGGGAGCAGTTACTGAGTTAAAAATTTCTGCAGTTGTCTATTGTAATTTTTACGATTGAAACACAGGGGAGATAATTAATATTTGCTTTGTCATATTTTTCAATAAAATTGTATACACCTTCTCCATAACATAGACCTATGCGACTTAGGACCATCCCTCTTTACTGCCATCCCCACTTACGACCAGCCCTCTTTACTGCCATCCCCACTTGCGACCATACCCACTTACGACCATCCCCACTTACGACCATACCCACTTACGACCATACCCACTTACGACCATCCCCACTTATGACAATCTCCACTTATGACTAACTCCACTTATGACCAACTCCACTTATGACCATTTCCACTTATGACCATCTATACTTTCGACCATCCCAGCTCACGACCGTCCCCACTTCCGGTAAGAAAAAAAAAAACATTAAAAAAGAAAGTGAAAAGTAAATAAAATAAAAAGATTACATTTACTAAGGTCAAAAAGTTCCTAGAATTAACGCAGTAGAGAGAGTGCTTGTTACGTATCGTTCACATTGTGTGCAATAATTATAGGTAGATAGATAGATTTTATATCTTTTATGTCTAATTTTGTCGTAATTCGAGGAGCCCTGTATGTTATCATATATATGAATACTTGCCGAAAGACAACTCAGTATTATTAAATTATATTTTTTTCTTTTTATTTGCCAGAATAACCAGCTGACAACAATACCGGCTGGAAAACTTCCTCTAGGCTTGTATGGCATAGATTTTACGCAGAATCCAATCAGAAGCATAGATGATGATGCCTTTCGTAATATAGCTGACAACTTGACAGATCTTAGTTTTGCCCAGGCAATGTTTACGGATCTCCCGAGGGCTCTCCTTCAGTTAAATAAACTCCAGCATTTAACCATTGCCGATACGCAGATCACCAACTGGGACACGGATATTGTAAGACATATCGGTTCAACACTGCAGACATTGATACTGATCAATACTAGCCTAACATCCTGGCCCACCTGGGTAACGTTACTCCCTCATCTGGGCACTCTTGAGCTATCCTACATGCAGCTTCGAGTTCCAGATGATGCTTTCGATAACCAGATCAACACGATGTTCAGTGTTAATTTTGAAAACTGCAACCTTACGGAGATTCCAAGCGCACTGTCCAAATTAATACATTTGCAGTATTTAGTTCTGGACAACAACAACATAACCAAAGTTACTGGACTGCCCAATTCTCCAAATTTAACAACGTTAACTCTAGATGGCAACCAGATTTCGGACGCAGCACAGCTAAGTGAAGGACTTCGGCCAGTGGCCAACTCATTAACCACTTTGACGTTGCGAGAAAATAGACTGCTATCAATGCCAGATCTTTCCGCTATGGTCAAGCTGGACTCACTTGATCTGACTCAGAATGTTATATCAAGCATCGGTAATGGTAAAGTCCCAGCTTCTCTAACGGTAATGGATTTAGAAAACAACTACCTTCCATCGTTATATTTCTTTATGCAAACTGGAGTTAAATTGATGATCTTACGCTTTGATCATAACTCTGTTCTGGACATTCGCGATGTGGACATTCCGGTTAGCGTCTCCGACATGAGCGTCGCTTCCAACCGAATCAAGCAGCTGACCGACGCCAGCTTCCCCCTCAATTCCCAGATGGGGTCCCTAACGCTGGATTTTAACCCTATCTCTAAGATTTCCTTACACGCTTTCTCGAACCTGCAGAGCCTTGTTTACATGTCCATGGTAGGCACGCAGTTGACTAGGCTTCCTCTGGCACTCGGGGCTTTAGCCAGCCTCAGAACTGTTAGTTTTGATCAAAGTGCTCATCTGGTATGTACGTGTGTAGAAAAAGATTTGCAGGACTGGACTTCGAATGTGGAGATTAATGGCGATTGTGGAATGACCTCAGTTGCGTACTTCTTTCAATTTATGAGTGACCAGTGTCCAGATTAATGCTAAATCGTCATCTTTATCAAGTGTCTGTGGGGTCACTCATCGGGAGATCATACTTCTGGGTGTATAATTTGTGCACTCGTAACCGTTTTTTTTTTAAGCTGTCCACCTTCCACCACACATGTCTACGTAGAATTATCAAAATTTTCTGGCCAGATACAATCTCAAAGGCTAAACTACTTCAAGCCACAAACCAAGAAACTTTAGACAGATGATTACCAAGAGAAGATGGAAATGTCTTGGCCACGTTATGAGAATGACTTCTGATATACCTGCCAAAACAGCTCTCACATGGACACCAGAGGGAAAGAGAAAACAGGGGCGCCCAAAAACAACATGGAGATGAACGATGGAAAGTGACCTGAGTGCGGCATTTTTGACATGGAAAACTGCACTGAAGATTGCACAGGACAGGAAAGCACGGAGAGTCCTCTCTGAAGCCTCATGTGCCACTAGGCATAACGAGAACTGATGATGATGAACCGTTATTTAAATTAATTTTGACACTGTCAGAAAGTGGATGAAAGACTGAATTGAGCTTTGGTGCTTCTTCTTATCTTGTGATTTCCAACAACATGTATCCGTTCGTGTGCTGTCCCATTTTCAGACCAGATCAGAGGGTTGGCAAATAGTTTCTCTCTTTGTTTTCTTATATCTTTCTGTCCATACAGTTGTCACAAATCTTCCAGTTTTTCTTTTTCATAACATAGACAACAATTATTTATTCAATCTCTCTTTCTCTTTCTCTCTCACTCTCTCCTCTCTCTCTCTCTCTCTCTCTCTCTCTCTCTCTCTCTCTCTCTCTCTCCCCCCCCCTTTCTCTCTCCAATGATTATGTTAAATGAGTTAATAAAAGTCAATTTAAAAACAAGTCAATAAACATTATGTTAACATACTTGTGCTTTAATTCAAATGTACAGAAGCTTATGTGGATAACTTACACATATGACAGACTGAAATTTGTTTGATTCCATGCTTTAAATATTAAATTTCTGTTACCTAGGCGCTACTTAGCTTAGGCGTTACGCGCTCTGTAATGTCGGGGTGCCGGGTTCGATCCCAGCCGCGGGCCTTGCGTCTTCGTTGGTTTCGACAGTGGTATCGAGAAGTCGACCGTCCAGGAAGCAATGGCAAACTACTGGACGTAAACTTGATTAGGAAAACCACAACAGCCACACACACACACAAAATGCTGGGGTTGGTTCTGCAACGTCTTGTATAGGATAAGCAAATAATTAAAAAAAAAAAAAAAAAAATCCTTCTTTAAGCTCTTTTTTTTTTAATCATATATATTAATCGATTTTTTTTAAGTTAAAAATCCATAGATTATAACTCATTCGTTCCCAGAAGCGTGCTATGGTTAACAACAACAACAAAGATATAAATATGCGAGTTTCTAAGAAGCAACATGCACAAACAATGTATAAAAAAACATACGTTACGATGCCTACTAAAATACCTAGCCAGGCTTTTTTATTAGTAATGTCAGACCAAATATAAATTTCAAAATAACATAGTGTGTGTTATTTGATATGTACGGGGAATAGTTTAATACACATGATATGTCATTTGGGGCTTAAAGAGTAAACCCTATCGCCCGAGAAGGCTAAATCTATTCACTTCTGGTTGTGACACAGCCCCGTAAGTGCCGATATATCGAAATGTCTGCAGGAAACTGTTTCCCAAAAGCGCAGTTAAATGTCAATGGCTACATCTGCGCCTGCGTTTAAGAGGCCCGGATGTGAATATAATAATTAAATATATCATTTAGAGGGATTTCCGTACAACTCTAAAGCCAGGTTGATGTTACACTATTTGTCTTCCTTTTCCCCGAGTCTCAAGCGGCGCTCACAGCGCCCACAGACACTCCCCGATGCAACATTATCTCCAGGTTCGGGCTTTCAATACTTTCCATTTTGTTTATTACATTGTCCTACAGGCTGCATTGTGCAGCTGCGATACACTCCCATGTGGGGCAAGTCCAGCCACACTATCAGCCCGCTCATTCCTAAACGCACCTGAATAAAGCGGGCAAAATATCCATGTGACTTCTACTACGTGCGACGTCTGGATTAATGCAACCTATTATATTTAGAAAAACAATTTCTAACTAAATTTGCGGAAACAGAAACAATTATCACAGCATACCCATCAGAGATAACCAATGCAGACAGCTCACCACAGAACAAAAACAAGACATGCAGTGGACTAAACACTTCTCCGACCTCTTGAACAGACCTTATCCTGAAAATCCCCCACGTATTCAACCAGCCTCTCGGGACATTGACATTATTACTGAACCACCAAGCAAATAAGAAATCCTTAAAGCTATCCACACTTTAAAGAACAACAAAGCGCCAGGCAAAGACGAACTGCCAGCAGAACTTCTCAAAGTAGATCCCAACACAACTGCTAGCATTGTAGAACCATTGTTCAAGGATATTTGGGAAAAAGAAGTGTTCTGATGACTGGACTGAAGGAACAATCGTCCAAATCCCCAAAAAGGAGACTTAACAGGCTGCAATAATTGGAGGGGAATTACTCTACTCTCAGTTCAAAGCAAAATATTTTGTAAAATCATCATAATGCGGCTTCAAAAAGGAGTAGATAAATGCCTATGAGTGGAACAAGCCGGATTCAGAAAGAGCAGAGGAACAGCTGAGCACATCTTCGCCATACGTAACATTTTAGAACAATGCAATGAATGGCAGAGAAGTATAAATATTAATTTTGTTGACTTTGAGAAAGCTTTTGACAGCGTCCACAGAGACGGTCTATGGAAAATTTTACATCATTATGGAATTCCAGAAAAAGGAGGAAGACATACAGTCACGCCTGAACAAAACTAGAGCTACTTTTGGAAGGACGAGGCAAATCTGGAAATCCAACAATGACTGCAGAAGAACAAAACTTCGACTCTACAAGAGCATCACTTTGCCAGTTCTTCTTTGTGAGGCGGAATGCTGGAGAATGACCAAAACGGATGCACACAAGCTGTCCACCTTCCACCACACATGTCTTCATAGAATTATCACAATTTTCTGGCAAGATCCAATCTCAAGCACTAAACTACTTCAAGCCACAAACCAAGAAACTTTAGACAGTATGATTACCAAGAGAAGATGGAAATGGCTTGGCCACTTAATGAGAATGACTTCTGATATACCCGCCAAAATAGCTCTCACATGGACACCAGGGAAAGAGAAAACAGGGGCGCCCAAAAACAACATGGAGACGAACGATGGAAAGTGGCCTGAGTGCGGCATCTTTGACATGGAAAACTGCACTGAAGATTGCACAGGACAGGAAAGCATGGAAAGTCCTCTCTGAAGCCTCATGTGCCACCAGGCATAACGAGAACTGATTATATATATATATATATATATATATAATACTCAAACAAAGCATATCAAGACGGACATGCAGCACTAAGATCTCGCAGAAAGAAATCAATGCTGGTCAGTCCACAAGTTCCTGAGCAGTCAACCCCATTAGAGCTGTACCATAACCTCAAGATATACTCCGAACAAGTGCACACCAAATTGCCATTTCCCCGGAAGTCTATCGTGATCAAGTTGCTTAAGGAAGCCATGGACACCGGAAGTCGACGTATTCTAGTATTTGTCATTGACAGGTATCTCAAATTTACTAGGCTCCCAAATGCTGAAACAGAGACTGTGGAAATTGGATTCAAATCCAAACGCAGCGTTTCCAGTTTTGAATTCTGGGGAAAACACGATTCTGTAACTCTCGAGAGTAGGTTCAATGAGACATCGATTTCGAAAACGTTTGCTGGGTAATCTGTGCCAGCCAGTTCTGCGAGCATGTTAGAGTGAAGTTGTAGAGTGTCCAGTTTGGTCCCCATTTCCAGAAAAGATACCAGAGTTGTCAACCGGTTGTTTTCTAAAGCCAGAAAACTTACAGACGTAGGTATAGCTCCTGTGTTTCCATTATCAATTAGGTTATTTGAAAGGTGAATCGTGTCTAATGAGGTCATGAACAATAAATCCGGAAATATTGTCAACTTATTTCCATCCATGTATAATGATCGCAAAGAATTTTGAACGGGACGTAGAGCATCGGTGAGATGGGAGGTATTTGCTATACTGTTATTCTCCAAACTTAGGTAAGTCAATCTGCCGAAATTAGGAAGCCCAGTGAGCTGGGATATCTTATTGTTGTCCAGTATTAAGTCTGTCAATGCAGGCAGTATCGAGAAGATGCTGCTGGTTGATGTCATTGTAACATTCCTAAGAGTGAGACTGAGCATGTTCTGAGCCTGCGTCCGGAAAGCATCATCTGGAATGGATACTATAGCGCTGGAGAATTCAAGACTGGTTAGAAGAGGCAGTACTGGAATCCAATCAGGCCAATTTGTGATTCCTACATTAACCAAAGTCACATCTTTAAGTGTGTTGCCTAAAGAAGCCCATACACTAATATCCCATTGTTGAATTTGACTATCTTTTATTGATAAGTGCTGAAGGTTACCCAGGTAAAGTAATGCAAACGGAAACTCTGAGAGGTTAACATTTGAAAACTTCAAAGTTGTCAAAGTATCTGAAGAGCCAACAAATACCTGCTGGCCAATGTCGGTGAGAGGATTTCCTTCAAAGTCAACGCCACCGAGACCTGAAGGCAAACTTCCATCTGGTACAGAGGTGATTGAATTTCTCTGGCAGAGGGAAAATAGAGAAGAGAATCAGAGTTTTAACGTTTTCAGTAACTCAACACAGCAATAAAAATGGAGTTAGTTGCGTAACCTTTTACGGGATGCTGCAAAACCAAGCTCATCCTTTGTGTTTGGCAGTTACTGATTTTACAAAGTAATTTCACTTTTAGTACCTAGTCATTTTTATTGAACGGTAAGCTTTTGATCAGACAATCGACAATCAATAAATGAATGAATCAATCAGGTGCCACCAGGTACCATGTTGAATCGGCAACACTCAAAAGATTACAAGAACTACAGGCCAAAAGAGGTGTCGCCAAACATAAACACTATACAGGTAGCCAAAGAAGAATAGTAAGCCAAGACAGAACTGGTGCTATCAGTCGCCATACCCTGAAAGATATTCTGAAGATGGGATCAGAGCGCTCATGGACTTGTCCGATATGCAATGAGGATAATCTTTCGATTAACTAACAAACTAGAAAACGAGGAAGACCAAGGGAGTTTCTACGTAGAACCATTATCAAGGAAGGCTCCCATGGACCTAGCAGCTGTTTATTTGTGCTGATTGAGAATGCCTTATGCTGTAAAAGGGGTGCTGTTCCAATACTTGGCCTGCTTTACGGCATCGAAAGTTATTTTCTTCAGTCAACTTACAATCTTCAGTGAATGTTGTTCTATGATATTTAAACTCGGATGCCTGTTTAATATGTGTATTCTCTAATGCTATATTTTTTCTTCTTCTTTGCGTTCGGTTTCGTATGCTCATTTCAGACCATCCGGTTGGTTGCCTCTATGAACTCGCATGTCAGCAGCAGATCTTTCATGGTTCCACATAGCCTGCTCTGCACACTTTGCTCTTGAGGCCCGATGTCTTTTCGAAGTGGTAGGTAGAGTGGGCAGGTCTGCAGAATGTGCTGAGGTGTTTGGGGTCCTGTTTGACAGGCACACAGCAGGGACTGACCAATCTTTATTTTATGCATGTGGTAGTTGAGCCTGCGGTGTCCTGTTCGCAGACAGAAGAATATTGTATGTTGCTTTCTGTTGAGTCTGCTGATGGGGTCTTGTGGATGTTTACTGTTAGTTTGTTTTCTCTACAATTCCTTGTAATTTCCCTTGATTAGTGTTCTCATTAGTGCTAATGAAAATGAAAGGGCATGTTGCTTCTCCTTTGTTCCTTTTTTTTTTTAATTTGCAAGCGTGTATGCTAACTTATTGACTGGTATGCTGCAGTGAGCCGGGATCCACTGGAGAACGATTTGATTGTTTTCTGAGAGTCTGTTTAACTGGCGGGTCAATTCTCTCTCCATGTTGTCTGGTAGATCTCTCTGAGTCGCCCGGCGGACTAACTTTCAGTCACAAAGGAAAACAATTTTGCAATTTTTTTTCTTTCCTCCAGCACTTTGTTTGAATCAATAATTGCTTGCTGCTGTGCTTTGAAGTTTGTTGAGTCTTCGGGAGGCGCATGACGTTTCCACTGTGGTCCTATCTGGCAGCATAATGACCGATCCAGCTCCTCAGTTTTTTTTCTGCTCCCTCCATTGATCTATCGGTGTATACGTGTGTCCAATCACGTTTTGGATAACAGTTGTAGACATGTTCAAGGGTCTTTGTATGCAGTACTAGGTTACATTTTGTTTTTGTCTATGCTTGGAATTTTTGTTGTGACTGTAAAGTTAGGCTTTAGGTTTATCTGTACGCCTGGATCATTTCCCACATTGAAGGATCTTTAGAAAGGATGTCACTGTTTTTTGTGTGTATTACAGTTTTGATAGATAGTGGAAGCTTTGTCTTTTCAGTCGGTTTTTAGTGAAGTTGTTTGCATGGGGTTTCATGCGTTTCAATTTTTTTTTTCCGTCGAAGGCTTGGGCTTTGGAGGCCAGAAGTTGCCTTCAGCTCATTGATTGGTGTGCTTCTCATACCTCCTGTAGTGATTTTTAGACCAGTGTTCTGTATTTGTCCAGTCTGTATAGATTTGATTTGGCTGCAGTGGAGTATGCTCCCATGCCATACTCCAGTTCTGATCGTACGTATCATGTGTATACTTCTTGCACAGTGTTGGCATCTGCACCCCAGCTTGTTGCAGTAAGTTTTTTCAAAAATCTGAGCCGCAGGATAGCTTTCATCTGCATGTTTTCAATGTGGGGGCATGAGATTAGCCTTTTGTCGAATTTCACTCCCAAATATGTTCAGGTTTTCCTCTTTTGAAAGGATGTTGCCTTCTAGTTGAAGATCAACTTGTTCTAGCTCTGTTGAAAGAGAGAAGAGAGCCAAAGTGGTTTTGATCTGGTTTGTTGTGACTCCCTAAGTGTCTGTCCATATCTTAACTGTATTTATAGCTTCCTGTATTATTGTTTTAGTTGTCCTTTTATGTTCAGCTTGGGTCGATATGGCTTGATCAAATACATGTAGGCCTCGTGAATGTGAGTCGTGAACAGTTTTGGGAGGTCATTGATGATAAGAATAAACAGGGTAGGAGATATAACACCTCCCTGGGGGACACCTTCTTGTAACCTGAGCAGCTTGCTCTTGTGCTCTTTCAGTCTGACTCTCGCACAGTGTCTGTAAAGAAAGTCTGTAATCCAGCATATTCTTCAGAAAGTAAGACAAACGGTTCATGATCTTCAGAGAATAAGACAAACGGTTAATAATAATCAGAGAGTACAACAGACGACTTAATTATTTACCTCTGAAATACCCTCACTAACAAACAAAAACAAAAAAAAATCCACCCCACCCCAAAAAACCAAAAATACCTAAATGAGAACGCGAACACATGAAAGCAGAGTATGGGTGCCAGTCACTGCTCGACAGAAGCAGCTGCAATCAAGTACAGACCCTTGCACATCTATCAATGAGATAAAGAAGAGGAAGGCAACTTACACTCAACGCCAAATAGGGAGCAAAGGAAACTTTGTTTACAACCAGAGTTGGCATCGACTTCAAGTTGAGGTCTTCACATTCTATCAGGCCCTCAACACACTGGCACTCCTAGAAGATGTAATCAAAATAGATATTTGAGTACACAAAATGAACATGCATTTGCGATAGAAAGCTGAGTGTTTGAGAAGAAGCACACTGACTACATGAAAAGACAACAAATTTCCTGAAATCGTATGCTCTAATTATGGTATGTCAACCTTCAACATACCTATATCTAAACAATTTTACTATTTTCACATTATTGTTCAATTTTATTTTATTATTTTTATGCTTATATTATTTTATATTATTAATATTTTTTTTTATCTCTTATCATTACCAATTATGGATCGATCATTAACATTTGTATTTCTATTACTCTTTCTTCCTACTATTATTATAGATTATCATCATTACTTTTATGACTAATTTTCGAGTTTTCCTTTTTCTTAAATTTTATTTTATTACATTCATTGCGCATCAAATTTTTATAGTTATTCAAGTGATCCCCTTGTGGGTCCTGGCGGTTTTAGTACTCGCCGCTTTGTTATGTTTGTGTAGTTAATTCATGCGGAAAAAGGCCCCGGCCGGAAGGACGATTTTTGTTGTTCTTCTGCACGTAGTTTTGCTTCCCCATTTCGTTAAGCTTTTCAGTCAAAGTTCACCTGTTCAGTTTCTAATTTTGGTAGACTTCTTAAAACCGGCGGGTCTTGCTAGTCACACTCGCCATCGCCATGGGCGGAGACTCACACGCCCCTCACCCCCTCCCCCTTATTTTCAATGCACAATATAACACTATCGTCTGGAAAGGTGCCAACACTATAACCTATACATCTGTAATTATTATATACATACCCACAAACATAGCCGTCTATATTCTCTCCGGTTATCCTGGTAAATACGTAAATACACTCCTATCTTCTTGACTGCGAACCAACCAGCCTGCCTGCATGCGTATCTGCATTTAGCTGTCTGTCTATAAAATATATCTCTTTGAAGATCCTAATGACAGCTTGTAATCTGTTTATAAGTAGAAAGAACAAGTAATAATGAGATGCGAACCTTGTAAGGACAAATGTCAGAGGTCACCGACACAAAGATCCAAGCATGTATGACTGTGCGCACGGTGTATGACCACCTAGCCATGACTGAACACCAGTCCTAACAAAGAGACAGACAACAGCAGATACGAATTAGTAAAAATCAAGGGCCCTTGTCTTTTTACAAGGCGTGAATAATATATTTATTTTCCTACTGTACCATTGTTTGTCATATAGTCTATTCCTCCAATCCATTCTATGCTATGTTATGTTATCACCATCGAGCATTATCCTGTGGGCGCAGTTCTTCGATACAACAGCCTCTTTAAGGTGCTTCTACTAACTGTTCCCAAGAGAGGCTGGTTATAATGTCTCCTATCTCGATCTCGAAAGAGGCATAGACGTGCTTCACCATGCTTTACTCCTGTGTCACGCAATCGTGTCAGTGTCTGAGATTCGTCATTATACACTAGCCCAGTTCGTACATGCTTCTACATAAAATAAAAAAAAAATTAAAATTTACATGTCACTTCTCTACAATGGGAGTCGCCATAGCAGAATGGCTAGACGCTCGCCGCGGATCGGAAGGTCGTGGGTTCGCTCCCTGACGGAGTCAGATTTTTTTCAAAAATGATCTAGGCTTCCAGGTCGACCCAGGCTTGAGTGGGTACCGGGTGCAGTCCTGGGAAGTAAAGGCGGCCGGTTTGATACTGACTATATCATCCATCTTGTGCCGATTGGTCTGCAAAATATAGGTCTAGCCCTACATGCCCTATACGCCTAAAGGCGTGGAAAAGCGTCCTTTACTTTACTTCTCTACAATGGCGTTGAAAATTCAAAATTGAAAAGGACTGTACAGTTTGTATATATTAACCAGTCGCAGCTTTTTCTTCAAAGACATAGTAATATTGTCTGTACAATTTACCATTATGGTCTCCGAAAGCCACAATTATGACTTCACAATACCAATAAAATTTAAAAATCTGCCACACACACACACAAAATTAAAAAAACATACAAAAACTAAATTAACTTCTGTAATTTTTTCCCAGTACTGTTAAAAATTCCATATCGGAAAGCATTGTATAATTTCTATATAGGAATCAGTCATAGCTTTATCGTTAATGCAACACACAGAAAACAGATAGAACCACTGGCTGTGTTAGCACGCCTGTCTGTACTAACCTCGCCGATACAGTTACTATAAAGAGTTCACTTGTCCAGGTTTTCCCAGATTTCTGTGTCATGAAACTATTTGGTAAAAACGCAAGCAGTTCTCAAAGGTTTGAGTATCGAGTCAAATGTTTGTTGTGTATTGGTAGTATAAACAGTAGTTAAGTCTGATTACTGTCGTTAACTGTTTCAGTACAACAAAGAATTTCAGTAATCTAATCTTGCATCAATGACAGAACAATAAAAAAATATTTAAAAAAAACTAAAATGAGATTCTTGCATAGGGCTCTAAATTTAACAAGAAAAGATAAGATCAGAAATATGAAATCCAAAGGAAAATGGGGGGGGGGGGGGGGGGGGGGGAGGGGTTGAGCAGCTCTAGATTTATTAGAAAACAACAAGTGAAATATTTTGGTTATATAACGCGTATGCCAAAAACAGTATACCTCATTAGGCAATATGCGTGCTCATTTCCCAACACACTGGCATGACCTTGAGAAAATATCCAAAGGATGCTAACTACCCGGCACCTCTGAAGTGATGCTTGCCATTCTGCACAGAGCAGGCATTAGGCAATGAGGTATAGACTAGACGGAAAGCGAGAAAGCGGCCGACTATGAAAACGATGAAAGAAGGGAATACAAGAGTCAATGGAAATCCCCATTTACGAAGCACCTTAACGGGCAAGTTCCCGAAAATTATACTTCACTTCGACACCGTAAGGTATCAGAGTGTCAAGATGAGATTGTTCTTTTAATACCTCGAAGCTGTTACTTTCACTCGTTCTTTCCAATTTGGTTAAAATACGACACTAATTATTGTTGATCTATGTGGGGGACACAGCTGATACCTCCATAGGCCTGAAAATTTTAAGAAACAGCGAGGACTGAAACTGGCCAAATAGCTCATCAAGATCAACTAGTTTATCAAAGAGCAACAGACTAATAAGGTCTGCTATCAAATGCCATAGAGAACGTTGAATGTTGAATTAAGAATCGACATCACATCACTCGGGACGCTCCTATAAGTGCTCAGTCCCATCGTCAGCAGCAGGCGAAGAGTTCCAGTTCCGATGTCATCAGCAACCGTCTGATCGTGTATCCGTCTTATCCTTCCCCTGAGTGTTGAGCGAAGGCCAGATACCCTGGTAACTCCTCCCAGCGCCACTCTCCACAGACCGTTATGATGTATATGCGCCTCTGCACTGTTCACACGTTCCCAAAAGGCCCTCACAATATCTAGCTTGTCATACATCAATTTACCGCCAAGTGGTGCAGAACCGGTCAGTTTATCTGCCTGCTGATTTCCCAACACACCGGCATGACCTGGAGAAAATATCCAAAAGATACAACCAAACAGACCTCTGTAGTAATGCTTGCCACTCTGCAAGAAGCATGCCTCTCTTCACCTTTCTCAACATGCTCTGTGAGTCATAGAGAGTCATGTTAAAGTAGAACATGTCTACTGGACACAGAGCAGGCAGGCAATGACCACACAGAAGATGGATCGAGGTCGGCTGGACTGTCTCCCACTTGGGTTTGTACTGCAACTGAAAAAGGCAGATGTGATCTTGCGTATGTGGAGCGAGATAGCCAGTAAAACTGAAGATATTGAATACCCGTTATTTGGAGAGAACAGTGCCGTGGGGTGTCTGCTGGCTCTGGGTGACACTGAGGAAAAGGGGAAAGAAAGGGAGGGAAGAAGGGGGGGGGGGGGGGGGGCAACATGAATAGTTAACCAAAGAATAACAGGTACCGTCAGTTTAGAAACTTTTCTCTGGCTGTTGAAATGGGAGACAAAGCTAGTTAATGCTTTTTCATGAAACGTGTCTTCCCTGCAGCACGATTCCTAACTGGTCTGCTCAGCTAACTCAAAAAGAGAAGTGTGTAAAACAGTAAAGATTCCTTTTTCACGGCGTATCGGGTATATGGGAAGAGCACCAATATCTTTTTTACAGACTATCTGCACTAGGTGGACAATGTGGTCAGCATAACGCTGGCCCTCTTCACTTTCCATGGACAGCCATCATGGTACCCATTTTAGACTGGGTCGACCTGAAAAAAGAGAAGTAATAAACAAAATTAAGTTTACTTCTCTCTCTATGAACTGAAAATAAAAGCCAGTACAATCCTTATCAAACCAGGCTGTGATTATTCCCAGCGTTGGGTGTAGGTATCGTCCCTCACTTGTGCATGTGGCCCTGTGTAAGTATACATAATTTACTTGAAATTACTTGTGTTCGATTATGTAATAAACACCGTTTGTGTGTCTGTACTTTTGTCTGTGTAACTATACGGAATGTTTTTTTTTAAACATATTTTTTCTTATCAAAGACTATTAGCTGCGCTGTTAAAGTAGGAACGCAGTCTATTTGTGTAAGTATTATCTGTTTATGCATAGTTAACGTTACTTAACTACTTCGTGGGTTAAAGGATGCGAAAAAAAGATAGATCATAATACAGTACGTTTTTCTTACTTTAAAAACAAAAAAGGCGAGTAGGCGAGAGACTGCTTTTTCCTTTCTACAGACAACATTAGCTGCAGAAACAAATTATTAGTAAACTTTTTTTGCTCAGGATCTATGCTCAGGTATGTGACGGCAGGCAGTAATAGAAGAAGGAGGAGGCAAGGAAATGTAGGCATGCTGAAAAAAAAAGAAGAAGAAGAAGAGAAGAAGAAGAAGAAGAAGAAGAAGAAGAAGAAGAAAAGAAGAAGAAGAAGAAGAAGAAGAAGAAGAAAGAAGAAGAAGAAGAAGAAAGAAGAGAAGAAGAAGAAGAAGAAGAAGAAGAAGAAGAAGAAGAAGAAGAAGAACAAGAACAAGAACAAAAAACAAGAACAAGAACAAGAAGAAAAAAGAAGAAGAAGAAGAAGAAAGAACAAGAACAAGAACAAGAAGAAAAAAAAGAAGAAAAAAGAAGAAGAAGAAGAAGAAGAAGAAGAAGAAGAAGAAGAAATAGAAGAAGAAGAAAGAAGAAGAAGAAGAAGAAGAAGAAGAAGAAAGAAACGAAGAAGAAGAAGAAGAAGAAGAAGAAGAAGATGAAGAAGATGAAGAAGAAGAAGAAGAAGAAGAAGAAGAAGAAAAAGAAGAAGAAGAAGAAGAAGAAGAAGAAGAAGAAGAAGAAGAAGAAGAAGAAGAAGAAAAAGAAGAACAAGAAGAACAAGAACAAGAAGACAAAGAGGGAGAAGAAGAAAAAGAAAAAGAAGAAGAAAAAGAAGAAGAAAAAGAAGAAGAACAAGAAGAAGAACAAGAACAAGAACAAATACAAGAACAGGAAAACGAAAAAGAAGATTGTATTTTAGAATCATATATTTTCTTTCAGTTATTTTTAAGGTCTTCCCAACTGAAATGATGATGATGTTTGCGTTTGTTTATACCGCCTTCGTATTTGGTGTGCTGAAGATGACAGCTGCACAGTTGCGCTGCCCTTATGAGGTTTGTATTTGATCCATCCTTGTTTCTTGTTTGTCCAAGGTTTTCTTAAAATATAAAGGTTCTTAAATGCCTGGGATAATGAGGAGAGGAAATACTGACATTCTAAAAGATCTTAACATCAAGAAATACTGGCATGTAAATAACAGTAAACACATGCATAAGGCAGCATCCAGCAGTGCCAACAAAACTTTATCATCTCAGTCTGCCTATGGAGGAAAACGAAAATAGATTATTTTTGCGGAAACTAAATATGTAGGTCTTATCAAGCGCCGTGGTAGATTGAAAAAAAAATATAGCAGAAGGTATGGTGCCTGAAGAAGGACAGGGACCGACCACAAGGAAGATGGGCACAGGATATTAGTGATACCATTGGTAGGAAAGTACAAGAGGCGGGAGAGCTGGTGAGAGACCGAATTTCTCTCAGGCAGACCGTGATGAGGGCCACGTTCTGCAGGGAACAGCTACATAGTGATTTAAGGTTTGGAGTTTGTGGTTTTGAACAACGGATCAACTTCAGGACCTAAGGTCCATAAGTGCTCCGTTCTTCTTCTAACTCAAGTCTGAGTCCAAGGAAGCTCAGCCCACTGCACAGGTTCTGTAGCACCGGCGAGGATCCTCCAATACTTTGGGTAGAATTGTAACTTCAAATTTGGCCCGTTAGCCTTTAGGCTACTCTTTTCGATTTCCAACTGCCAAATGATATTTTACGTACGTAACAATGCAACCGGGCGTCTGATCTCACTACACAGAGACCAGAAGAAATTTACTAAAGTCCAATTCCATGTGGAAAAAAATCCCAGCCGCTACCAGGGATCGAACCCGGAACCTTTATCACTCGAGGCGGACACCATGCCCTGAGACCACGCAATCTCCTGCCACATAATGATGACAAAGCTGAGTTAGTTGTACAGGATAAGTTTACGTAGCCGTCCTGGGACCGGTTACTCAGTGAGTGGATTACTATTGTTCTGGTCATACGACGGATTTGAATCTTGTCAAATTTGCCTTGCATTTTACATTTCAAGACATTTCGTTCTGTCAGTATGACAGATATAAGTCTGTTGAATTAGTTTCACCATAGGCCCCTTTGCTTACTAGGACATTTCCTCTTAATCATTATTGTCTAAGTTGACTTGAGACTCGGCGTCTGTGGTTTAGATGTTGCGATTGTGCTTCGTAATGCCAAAGTACGGTGTTTGGTTCCAGCAGTTATAGGAGATGGATTGTCTTTAGAGCTGTTTCACATTTAGTGTTATAAGAGATGAAGCGTTTTGTATAACTGTTTCACATTTAGTGTTGTAAGAGATGTAGCTTGTGTAACTGTTTCACATTTAGTGTTGTAAGAGATGGAGCTTGTTTAATAACTGTTTCACATTTAGTGTTGTAAGAGATGGAGCGTGTTGTATAACTGTTTCACATTTAGTGTTGTAAGAGATGGAGCTTGTATAACTGTTTCATATTTAGTGTTATAAGAGATGGAGCGTGTTGTATAACTGTTTCACATTTAGTGTTGTAAGAGATGGAGCTTGTTGTATAACTGTTTCACATTTAGTGTTATAAGAGATGGAGCGTGTTGTATAACTGTTTCACATTTAGTGTTGTAAGAGATGGAGCGTGTTGTATAACTGTTTCACATTTAGTGTTGTAAGAGATGGAGCTTGTTGTATAACTGTTTCCCATTTAGTGTTGTAAGAGATGGAGCGTGTTGTATAACTGTTTCACATTTAGTGTTGTAAGAGATGGAGCGTGTTGTATAACTGTTTCACATTTAGTGTTGTAAGAGATGGAGCGTGTTGTATAACTGTTTCACATTTAGTGTTGTAAGAGATGGAGCGTGTTGTATAACTGTTTCACATTTAGTGTTGTAAGAGAGCGGTTCGTATAACGTTTTTCACATTGTATAAACTGTTTCACATTTAGTGTTGTAAGAGATGGAGCGTGTTGTATAACTGTTTCACATTTAGTGTTGTAAGAGATGGAGCTTGTTGTATAACTGTTTCACATTTATTGTAAGAGATGGTAGGTGTTGTAAAGCTGTTTCACATTTATTGTTGTAAGAGATGGTGGGTGTTGTAAAACTGTTTCACATTTACTGTTGTAAGAGATGGTGGGTGTTGTAAAACTGTTTCACATTTACTGTTGTAAGAGATGGTGGGTGTTGTAAAACTGTTTCACATTTATTGTTGTGAGAGATGGTAGGTGTTTGTAATGATCATGGTAGGGGTGCAGATCGAATGAATGTGGGACTGCCAGCAAAGCTCTGGGAATGTGAATGTCATATTGTGCACATGGGCCAAACAGGAGCCACATGAAATACCTCAAACAGGGGAAGTAAGCTCAGGTTGTGAAACGGCTGCGAACAATAGTCGACCGGAAGTTCTAGCGGATGATCTGGACAACTGCAGTGTGGCCATGCCACATAAAAGTGGTTTTTGTTGTTGTGTAAGATAGAATAAGCTTATATGTTAAGTGATTTAGAATATTGCAGTAATCTTAGGAGAATAAAGTGTATAGTAACAGAGCTGAGTGTGAACATCAGACTTCCTCGTGTGAATTGTGACCACATTCTGACAGAGTTTGTTATTGTTGTCGTTTGACTGTAATTGCTGTGTTAACGGGCCTTAAGTGTGTCAATAATGAACTATATCACAGTATGTATTGCTTCTCGGCCTTTTGGCTAAGATCAAAGTGTAGCTTTGCTGCACTGGTCTGGCCAAAAGAGCCCGGGATCGGTCATATCCTAGTCACGGGAGAAACCCAATCGGCAATGCCATCTTAAAAAATCTGCCTGGCGGTTTCTCCGTTCAGTCTGGATTACCGACGTAATATCCTCCGGGTAGTCGGGCGGCCAGACTGGGCATTTGGGGAGACCGACCCGGACAAAAAAAAAATTTGTTATTCTTAGTACTTATTAGGCTCAGAAGTAGGAGGCGAATATGAGAAGTACAATTAAGCACTTCCGTAAGTACAAGTTGAGTGACCTTTATAAGCACGTGCTTTGACCTTGTCCCCCGTCTCTCGATCCCTGAGAATTGTTAAGTACCAAGAATAAAACTTTTTCACATTTATTGTTGTAATGGATGGTGGGAGTTGTAAACCTTATTCACATATATTGTTGTCAGAGATGGTAAGTGTTGTAAACATTTTTCACAGGGGTGTGTATGTGAAAGAAACCTCATTTCATGTGCGGCACAAAACTGGAGAACGTTGCCCAAGCCACTTGTTTCACATGTTGACGATATGGAGTACCTGGATTTGCAAGTAGGTGGTATCTTGTGGATGTCCGCTGTTGAAACAAGTAGGTGGCGTCTGGTCGATGCTCAGTGTTGAAACAGGTAGAAAAAAAATGCCGGAACCTGGGTAGCTCCGGCACCTTGACACCCCCCCCCCCCCACACACACACACACTGACAAAACTGGTTAGGCATCCGCCCCTCCCCCTTTTTGTTCCACAGGGCCTGAGCTGTGACGGATAACTGAATAAACAGATAACAGAAATATGGTAATAATGATGAACAGTGACGTGATTTTACTGGTGGCGTGAGACAAAAATGAAAATAAAATACTTTAAAACTGAATAATACATACATACTGTATTTAATTTTACAATACGTTCAATATAAATTTCAGTATAAGAGTAGTACTGTACAGAAATGTAATGCAATTAACCCACGTTACTTCATGAGGTTGTTTTTCCCTTCTGTCTTTAAGGCTTGAGCTTTAGCCCGGCCACAGCCGGCTCTAGCTTACGGGCCTTGCTGCTGTTGTCACCGGATCGGGCTAACGATGCGGTAACGCAGCCGTTCTCAAACTGGGTGCTGAGGCACCCTAGCGTGCCGCAATAATAAAAAAAAGTCGGCTAAAAATTGTGAGATTATTAAAGAACGCATGTAGATACTAACAATTTAAAATTTAAGTTGTCTTCCTCGCCACTGTCGAAGACAGTTTATTTCTTGTTTGAGAACCGCTGAGTTACCGCATCGTTTGCCCGACCCGGTGACGTCAGCAGCACGGCCCGTCAGCTGAAGCCGGTCGTGGTTTGGACTGCAGGTTACTTTGTAACCATCGTGTGCATTACTATAACTTCACGGTTGAACAGGGTTTCTGGAATTTGTAGCTGAGGGATTCTCACCCAAACAGTGACACAATGCACTTTGTGTCACTGGAAATCAACTCTTTAAATCGCAAGCTGTGGTTACTTTAACTCATTGCACACCTGAACGTTGGACATAAAGCAAAAAACTACTGGGTCTGAAAGAGTTAAATCGAGACATTATCTACAGGGCACAAGTTGTTAAACTGATAATTCACATACATATTGTTAATGCAACGTCTGCTTAGTTAGTTAGTTAGGTAATTAGTTAGCTAGTCAATCGGTCAGTCAGTTAGTCATTCAGTCGATCAGTCAGTCTGTCAGTCTGTTAGTTAGTGGGCAAATTTTCCAATCAGTCAGTCAGTCAGTCTGTGAGTCGATCAATCCGTTAGTTAGTTAGTTAGTTTTTTGGTTGGTTAGTTAGTTAGTTAGTTAATGGACGTATTATTTCATCGCACATCGAACCATTTAGCCTATAAGTGCTCACATCCATCCCTTGGTAAATCCCACAATATGTAGCGGCTGATGACACCAGCTCTGTATTGGTTTTTTATTCTTCTTTGGCTTCCCGCATAGAGCTCTTGTCTGGCCACACCAACTTTAACATAATATTCCTGAAAATCTGGTCATTGTTGCAGATTCACAGTCATCACCTGGTTCACGTAAACGTCTCACTTCTCGTAGAACATTCAGAATATCAGCCTGGTCCATGGCGTGTTGGACCTCCCCAGTAGCTTTACCTGCAAACCTTTCAGCTTGCTCGTTTCCTTACACGCTGCGTGGCCTGACACGAATATGAAACTGATATTTGTCAGCCCTGACCGCTTCAGGGATTCGAACTACTGTCTTCGGACCCAGCCCATCTCTTTCACTTAGAGCATATTCAGTGAGTCACAGAGAAAGCATGCATGGGTGAAGGTTTGGGTCTCCAGTCATGTTATTGTTTATCACTGCCATAACCTCCATAGTCAGACTACTTGTGGTCAATGCAACAGCACGAGAGTCTCGCTTCACAATTATAACTTTAATTAGAGCAGTAAAAGCCCACGAGCTTCTCACTTGGCAAACGACAAACTCATCTGTTTAAATTACAGAACACCCCTCTTTATTGAAGATCAAAGCTTTTACTTCTGCCTCCACAACGGCCAGACGTCTTGGCTGCAAAAGTCTGTTTGTTGTAGATGACAGCAAGAACATTCTTTTTCTTTGGAGTAACAAAGAAAGATATAGTGATTTGTTTTGGCACTTCTTCATATTCTTCTAGGTCTTCTCTCCCTCAGTGGAGCGTAGGGCCACAGCCAACTCACGCCAAGTCGTACTATCCAAAGATGTTGAATGCAGCTCACCCATCTTTTTAATGGTACTCTCTAGCTTCCTTCTCCGTGCGTGTGTGTGTGTGTGTGGTTTTTTGAGGTGTTGGTGGTGGTGGTGGGGGCGGGGGGAGCTGACCCTATGGTTCCAATGCAAAGACATTTTAATGATATTGTTCTCTTGGTCCACTGGAACCTGTTTAGTTCTCTCCCAGGTCACAACATTAGTGACTCTATCATACCATTTCATTCCCGCTATTCAGCGCAGGAACCAGTTAGTTGAGTTAGGTCAAGAATTGACATCACATCACTCGGGGCATTCCTATGTGTGCTCTGTCCTCATCTTCAGCAGCCAGTGCAGAGTTTCAGTACTGATGGTACCGGTAATAATCTGGTTATATGTCCGTCTTGCCTTTCCTCTGAGTGTAGAGAGCCAGCCAGACCCTCTGGTTGCACCCAGGTGCCTCACTCTCTCCAGGATATAATAATCTCGTTTCTCTACTGATTCCGTTGCTTGTTCCCAAAGGGCCTTGACCACATCTGCCTTGTCATGTATCAATTCACCACCCAGTGGTGCAGATCCAGCCAGTGTGTCTGCCTGTTAGGCACCAGTTAATAAATCGTTGGTATTGAAAGAACTTGGATCGCTCAGTACACGGTCCTTAGTGAGGTTAACTTTCCTTACTCACAGAGACTTAATTTCCTAACCCGCATAGGACTGAAGGTTACACCTGACTGGTATCTTGAATCTGCCTTGTTACACCTAAATGGTATCTTGACTCTGCCTTGTTATATCTGACTGGTATCTTGAAAATGACTTGTTACACCTAAATGGTATCTTGACTCTGCCTTGTTACACCTGAATGGTATCTTGAAAATGCCTTGTTACACCTGACTGGTATCTTGAAAATGCCTGGTTACACCTGAATGGTATCTTGAATCTGCTTTGTTACACCTGAATGGTATCTTGACTCTGCCTTGTTACACCTGAATGGTATCTTGAAAATGCTTTGTTACACCTTACTAGTATCTTCAAAATCTGCCTTGTTACACCTGAATGATATCTTGACTCTGCCTTATTACACATGACTGGTATCTTGAATCTGCCTTGTTACACCTGAATGGTATCTTGAATCTGCCTTGTTACACCTGATTGGTATCTTGAATCTGCCTTGTTACACCTGAATGGTATTCAGAATCTGCCTTGTTACACCTGATTGGTATCTTGAATCTGCCTTGTTACACCTGGATGGTATCTTGAATCTGCCTTGTTACACCTGAATGGTATCTTGAATCTGCCTTGTTAAACCTAACTTATATCTTCAAAATCTGCATTGTTACACCTGAATGGTGTCTTGAATCTGCCTTATTACACCTGACTAGTATCTTCAAAATTTGCCTTGTTACATCTCACCGGTATCTTGAATCTGCCTTGTTGGTTCTCTATTTCAACTGAGATTTAAAAATAAAATCTAAGGTGGGTATTGTAAATTATTATGTAGCAACCCGTTGATGACAAATCGATCCATCGATGTCAGTGATGCTCCAGTAACAACCATTGTGAGTTAGGACACGTTTCAATGGCTCGTTTTTGCAGTAACATAAAATGGTAACTATAAATTTACTGTTTAGAATTCACTGATAACGATTAATTATAACTAAAATGTAAAAAATTAACAAACAATAATTTGAAATATAAAACGACCAAACCCACCATTGTAACCTCCTGTTTATTTCAACAGGGCAATCCTTTGAGCACAGTGGACGCTGGGAATTTGCTTTCAGGTCTTTCTGGAATCAGCTTCGAGAATACCCCTTTGTTATCCCTAGACCCTGCAGCTTTCGACGGCTCAGCTAATACTTTACACCAGCTTACGTTCACAAAGGCAAGATTTACTCAGATCCCCATAGCACTGTCGCATCTGAACAAAATGGAAGGACTTGTCATTAGAGATACTGCAATCAGCGATTGGAACGTGAATGTTATGAAACACCTTGGCTTAACATTAATTAATCTTGCTTTGGACAATGTTAGTTTGGCGTCGTGGCCTGAATGGATTCAAAATTTTCCGCATTTGCAGACACTTGAGCTTACAAGTTCATTCACCACAATACCAGACAATGCTTTTGATATGCAGGCAAACAATTTAACTACTCTAAGACTGATAAATGGTCTTCTGTCAGAGGTACCTTTTGCGATATCGAAGCTGGCCGCTTTAACTACACTAGTTTTAGACTACAATAGAATATCTAGAATAAGCGGATTTCCAAGCTTTGGCGCTTTGTATTCTATAAGTATTCAATACAACAGTCTGTCGAATGCATCGCATTTTACTGAAGCCTTGAAATCAGTGGCAAACTCGCTTACTGACCTGGAGGCTGAAGGTAACAAACTGACCAGTTTCCCAGATTTATCGCCGTTGATAAATCTACGAACAGTGTACCTCTCCCACAACCTTATCTTCGACACCAGTTCTGGTTCGATTCCATCTTCAGCCTTGTATCTTGAACTTGAGAGCAACAAAATTCGGTCGCTCTCAGGATTTTTATCAGGAGGAATTAATTTGAATTATCTTGGAGTAGCAGCGAATCTGTTAACCTCTCTGATAGGTGCAGATATACCTGGAAATGTTACGGAACTAGATGTTGCCAGAAATCTCATATCCGAACTGACAGACACAAGCTTTCCAACAAATTCTAACATTGATGCTCTTACATTGGACTACAACCCAATATCCAAAATTTCCACACCATCATTTGCTAACCTAAATGCCCTCAGAGCTCTGTCGCTCATCGGCACAAAACTGACCCGTTTGCCTCTGGCGTTGAGTTCATTACCTGGGCTGTACTCGCTTGATA